TGATGAGAGCACCTGAAATTTACTCTTAGCAAATTTCCAGAACTCAATACTGCATTATTAAGTATAGTCATCATGCTATGAATATCAAATGAAAACTAATTCCACTTAGTTTAGAATGAAATAGATACATTTACAAAGGGTTTCCAGGAGTCAGACTATGATTTCTGTGAAGGCTCCAGTCATGTCAGGGCAGGTGCAGGTCCCTGAGGACTGAGGCCATTCATCCCCTGCTCTTTTTTAATTCACCGCAGCTACTCCAGAGCGGTGTGCCCACAGGAATGAATCAATAACTATTTGAGCCAATGTATATTAGAATAACTCCAGTATTGTAAAGAATAGCTCATATTTCTCTTCACAGTAATAGATGACAGCTTGTTACTCATTAAATGTGTGAAGTTAGATAAACAATGCTTTGTTTTCCATTTTGTTTTACGCTATGGGGGCCATCACAAACATCGATGGGGAAACGTAGCTGAACTATGCTGAATTTTCTGTTTTCTATGTAGGGCGGGCACTGGGGCTCCCTCAGCGCTACGCTAACCACCTGGTGGAATGTGGAACTACGCCGGGGAAGGTCTCATTTAGTCCCTCACAGAGAAGACGCTGGGCAGCCCGCCTACCTCCACGTGGTTCACTAGGGCTGTGTGTTTTCCTGTCTCGTTCACCCTTCAGGTCGATCCTCCAAAGAAAAAACCAAGTTACACATTTTACAAATGGAGGCTTAGAGAGGTGAAATGACTTGCCCCCAGTCACGTAACCAGTAAGCGTTAAAAGTGGGACCTAAACCCAGCTCCGTCAGACTCTTACACCGTGGCCTGGGTCTGCAGACGTTTCTGGTAACACATCTGCATCACAAAGAAATGGTTTCTGAGCTTGTAACTGAAACTATTTATGGGTAACGTGTGCTACAGTGGGAGTAACATAGTACAAAACTTTAAAATAGAAGTTTCAAAAGGATCAACGTGACTGGACACTCTCTACTTCTCTTTCTGCTCCTGGTGAGCTGACCTGCTTGCCCCGAGGGTGCATCGCCCTGAACCCGAGACACAGCTCCTCTGTGCTGGTGCCAGAGACACCGCCGTCTTTTAACTCTGCGCTGTCCAAGGGAAATTTGTAATTTGGAGTTTTCTAGTAGCTACGTTTAAACAAAAAGTAAAAAGAAACAGGTGATGCTGATCTTAATCGTGTATTTATTTTGCATCCTTTATTTACTCCACACCGCCTTTGGAATCGGGTATGTGCCTGACACCCCCAACACATCCCCCTTTGGACTAGACACCTTTCAAGTGTTCAACAGGCGCATGTGCTGGAGGCTGCCAGGGTGGACAGTGCGGTCCTAAGGACTTCTGCTCTGTGCTCTTTTCACTACGTCTTGACGTGTCAAAGAACATTTTCAGAACAGCTTGTAATCTAAAAGGAGACCAAGTAAAGAGTTCGGCAGTAATGCTGAGCTATATAACTACAGCACAGACTGTACTTTCAAATTCTGAATTGAGAGAATTATTGAAGTCTGAAGTAAATTTTATAGAACCTGGAGTGTAAAAACCAAGAAAATTTAGACCCCAGAATATCAAGTGTTACATGGTATTATCTGTTAGTGGATACTAGGTTGTTTGCTCCTTGAAAGTAGTGGCCGTGAATGTTCTTTGCTGAAAGGATCTCACGTAAAATTGGAAAAACCAGGTTCTTAACTTCATTCGTCTTAGCCCGCAACATTAATATGCAGGATAAATGAAATTCTTAGGTTTGATTAAGGCATTCCAGTCTGATAAGGCAACAGTTCCAGTTCAGATGAAAGCATGATTCCTAAGGGATTTAAAAGCATCACAAAATATCAGATCTTTGAATACTGTATATGGAAAATATTAATAGGAACCAGTTTCAGTGACTGAAATCAAAACCATGACAAAAGGAGAGTTGAGAGGCAATGGAAGTACAAACGAGGGTGCTCGGGGCCAATGTGGATCTACCACTGCTCAGCCTGCTGAGCTTGGATAAGCGATTTAACCTCTCTGAACCTGTATGCAAAGGAATGACGTGTTCAGACTTGAATTTTGCAATAGTTCAGGGCATGCTGAGAGGGGAAAGAATCTGTGTGAAGCCCATGGTATAGTACACCAAGCACACAGCCAACATTCACTGCTGAAGATGATGTGATGGTGATTTCCTGGTCAACACCCACCACTCAATCCTGGGGATGATTTCAAAAAAATCTGCTCTCCTACCTGGTTTATACTAGATTTCTAATTATGAGATACACAGTGTTGTACTTAAACCGATGTTATAAATTGTGCATGTTATGGGCTGAACTGTGTTTCCCCCCAAATCATATGTTGAAGCCCTGACCCCCGGTACCTCATAATGTGTATCTGGAGACAATCAATCATCTTTAAAGAGGTGATTAAGTTAAAATGGGGCCTTTTGTGGGCCCTAGTCCAATCTGACTGCTGTCATTACAAGGAAGGGAATTTGGACACAAAGAGAAAGCAGGGATGCACACGCACAGAGGACACAGTGAGAAGGCGGCCAGCTGCGAGTCAAGGAGAGGGGCCTCAGAAGAAGGCAGATCTGCCAACGCCTTGATCTTGGACCTCCAGCCTCTGTAACCTTGAGAAAACAAATTTCTGTTGCTTTAAATACAGTCTGTGGTATTTTGTTACAGTAACTCTAGCAAACTAATACAGCACCTGGAACCATTTCTTCACGCTGCTCCATAATATAGCTGCTTCACTGTGATTTACAGTAGACGGTGAAGAGGGAGACAGACAGACAGACAGACCGAGGTGCTCAGTCGGCCCCCTTCGCTTGTAAGTTGCATGATCTTAGGCAAGTTACCTAATTTTTGTAAACCAGTTTTTCTTCTTTAAAAGGACTGACACTTATTTCACAGGTTATGAGGATTAAATGAACATTAAGAGTAACCGACCAACGTGTGGCATTCTCATGCAATTCTCTGTAACTCCTTCAGGTAGCACTGAAAAGATCACTTCCGGGCAGGTGGGCTGGCTGTCATGAAAGGTGTTTCTTTCACGTGAGTCTTCCCGACATTTAAAGGGCTTATAATTCGGAACATGCCAGCCTCCTAATGGGTCTCTGCCTCCAGGCTCGCCATCTGCCAATCTGGCCTCTCTACCGCCTTCTAATCCATTTCTCCGAATCCAGGTGTGAACACACTGCTCCCTTGGCTCCCTGCTGCTGCCCACGGTCCAGAGCCTGCACCCTGAGACTGGGGAGGATGCAGTCACTCCCTCTCCTGCCTCATCTGTCCTGTGCGGCACGTCCTCCAGCTCAGGCAGCACTTCTTGTGTCAGGCTCTGTGCCTTGCTCTGGCTTTGGGAAATGTCCTTCTCTGTTTGTACCCTGGTGACCCCTACTTGCCCTTCACTTTCTCAGTGAAATGTCCCCAGTGTTCCCAATCAGACTTGAGCACTGTCTTCTTATGGAAATACTGTGTTTTTCCTCAGACTCTCGCGTGGTTACCACATTACATTGCTTTTAAATATTTGTATTTCATTCTAGCCTGTGAACTTCCCAAGGAGAGGGTCTCTGTCTCAATAATCTTTGTAATCCAACATCGAGCACAGTGCCTACATTTAACACATGCAGTGGACATTTAATAAATGTTGGCTGAATGAATAAATGACCAAAGGAACGAATGCGTGTGATCAATCATATTAATACGTTATCACAGCTTAAAGTGGGAAGACTACAAGCTTTCCAAGTCTGGTTCACATTCTGGGTTAGTTATTTACTTCTCTGAGCCTCAGTTTCATCATCTGTAAAACAGGCACATTAACTCCGGCTGTTGCCGTTCAGATTAAATGAGACGTGTGAGTCTTTAAAGGATTGCACTCCATGTGTGATTTCTGGCTAATTACTTAATCTTATGCTCTGTGCTCCTTCCCTTCATCTGTATAACGGGAACAGCCCCACATACTTCGTGACATTGCCGGGACACCTGTACAGGGTGAGACACGTAAAGTCCTGTCTAACGTCCACTGTGTGCCAGTCACCCCCGGGCGTGCCAAAACCCGCAAGGATGCGAACACCATGCACAAGGCTTCCCGTAAAGAAGACCAGCTGGGAGTCAAAGTTTAAAGGCTACTTAATTGTTATAAATTATATAAGTAAAAAATCTGGCATGAACAAAAAGAGAAAAAATTATATCCCTGTCAACCTCAGTACCAGGGTGCCCGTCTGTTCAAAGCTTGCCTGGCCCCGAATGAGTTCAAAAGTGAATTTATGCTTCATCGAAATAACCATGTAGTCCATATTTATTTATGCTTCACAAAGCCAGTATTTTGGTTTGCGTCTGTCTGTCTTTGTCTACCACTCAGAATTTTAAACATAAAGCAAGAGGTTTCTAGGCATTTAGGAAAACATTCTGAACAGAACACGGATTTCATACATCAATGGACATCAAGGTCTGCTATCAGAAGACGTAACTATGAAGCTGTGTTTCCCTCTAATAACACTCATTTCTAAGCCAACACTTCTTTAGGAAACAAATTAGAACTCACTCATTTTTCACAAATAGGAACTTCAAGTTGTTAGAAAACAGAAGCGCTGCTGCGAAGAAACAGAAATGATCTATGAACACTGAAAAAAACTTCTGTCACTTCCATCCCCAGGCACTGACAATGCGGGATATTTACACATTTCTGATATGACTTTGGGCCTTAGGACTTGAAGAGCCACAGACTCGGTAGACACTGTTCTTCCTTAGAATATACTGAATGCTTAAGTTAAATTTTTAGAGCAAATAAAATTTCAACTTCTATTTTCCAAGACTCATTGCTTTAGCACTACAGTAAAGTTGAGAGCAATACATGCTATTCGGTAGGATAGATAGTGCTTCTCCGATTAAAACAAACAAAACCAAGCAGGCCGAGTCAAATCTCACCGTCACTGGCCAATCATCACCCTGTTCCCAGAGTACAGCAACTGTGGAAGGGCACAAGTGTCTGCTATGGGGTCTGGTCATAAAGATTGACTCTTACCTTTGGGCTGGGGCGCTATAGCTGTTATCATAGGAATCATAACTCTGTTCATCATAAGCAGCGCCATATCCATCATCATAGTCCTAAAATATAACAGGAGAAGTACAAAAAGGTTCAGAGAAATTTCTGGAAAGGAAGACGCATTCTGCTTTTAGTGCATTAATTCGGCGACCATTTAACTATATATCTAATTATAATGTAAGGAAAAATATAAAAGTGACATCAGTGAAAATGATAGGGTAAGAACCTCCAAAAATTCTCCTGAAAAAGCAGAGAGAAACTGGCAAAAATTGTTAGAATCAACATTTTTAGATGCCTGGAAGTTAACCAAAGGCTTGCAGAGATCTAGGGAGCATTTATGTTTAAAAAAATTGGCGGCACCTTGGAATGAAGGGTGAGCTCGGTCCTATTCCCACCCCTCACCCCCGGCTCTGCAGGAGCCGCAATCCAGCATGCAGGAAGCCAGCAGGCTGGAGGTCACTGGAGGGGGCAGGGCAGGGTGGAGGCTTTCAAAACCCCATCCCCAGAGGACTGCCTTTATTTGACCTGACTGGGAGCTCATCCAGTGCACAAAGTCTTTTCCCTCAGGGTATTTGAAGAAAATAATTAGAGGCAATTGTTTATGAGATTAGCTGCTTGAAGTGGCGGAGAAAGACTGGAGCAAATAACAGGCTAACCACAAAGCTTACAAGGAAAAGTGGGGGAATGAGATGTCCCTAGGAGCTCTGCAAAGTTCTGACATATTTCTGGAATCTCAAAGGCTACAGTGTCAGGTACTTGCCCAGCACAGACCTGAGAAGGCCCTGAGCTCTCCTCTGGCTGACCTTGAGGTTCAGTATAAGAAGGAAAGTCAAGGCTAAGCCAGTTAGTTGCAAACTGATTGGCTCAGTGTTGAAGACAAGCTCCAGCAGGTACCCACAGTCTCTTGGTAAAGACTACAGATTTCATTTCCAAGCATTTGACAAAATCTCTGTCCAATCATTAGCTGACCACTAAGGTAAGAGAGAAAAGACACTTCTGTGGCAACGCATGATAAATATCGACTTTACAATATTAGTTTGGAAAAGTAATTAAACCAAGAAAAAAAAAATCCTAGGGAGGAAGGAGAAGGACACACTATAGTAAATGTCCAGTTTTAAACAAACAAAAACCATTATGCAACATGCAAAGAAAAAACAAAAGTATAGTCTATACACGAGAAAAAAAAAGTAGTCAGTAGAAAAATACCCCTGATGAAGCTGAGACACTGAACTTACTGGACAAAGACTTCATTTATTTTTATTTTTTATTGGGGTAGAGTTGTTTCACAATGTTGTGTTAGTTTCTACTGTACAGTGGAGTTCCCTGTGCTAATACGGCAGGTTCTTATTAGTTATCTATTTTATACATATTAGTGTATATAGGTCGATCCCAATCTCCCAATTCATCCCACTAGACAAAGACTTTAAATCAGTTATTTGAAATATATTCAAGGAACTAAATGATAGCCTGTATCTAAAAAGCTAAAGAAGGGTCTTAGAACAATGCCTCACCAAAATCAAGAATATTAATATAGGTATAAGAAATACAGAAAAGAATCCAAAGAAATTCTTGAGGTGCAAAGTGTAACAACTCCAGTGAAAAATTCACTAGCCAGGTTGAACAGCAGAAACACAGGTGTAACTCTTTGTGACCTTAGTTATTAGTTTCTTAGATATGCTAACAAAAGCACAAACAACCAAAAAAATATATAAATAAAACAGACTCCAGCAAAATTAAAAACTTCTGTGTCAAAGAACATCAGCAAGAAAGTGAAAAGACAATCTACAGTACGGGAGAAAATATCTGCAAATCACATATCTGACAATGGTCTAGTGTCCCGAATATATGAAGAACTCTCATTACTCAACAATAAAAAACAACCCAAAAAGAGCTAAAGCCATTCTCCTAGTTCTATGAGGACATTTTGCAGATGTGATAACAAGTACACTATGGTTATTTTAAAGGTATTTTGAAACTGAAAAAGGTCCAGAGAGATGATCGTTCTGTAAGATCAAATTAGATACGTTGCTCAATGACATTTATATCTATGAAAGTGTGAAGCCTACCCTACAACTGATTTCTAAGTTTCTGGGGATACTCAATTACATAGTGACTTTGGACTTACTGGTATTTACTTAATATTTAAAAGAGCCAGGAAATAATCTAAGTATTTTGGAACATCAGTTTTATCAATGGTCATCAATTTAATGATCATCACCAGAGCTTTTGAAGTGGAGAAATGTGGTCAAGGGGTAAGAGAAAAGATGTGGAGTCAGATGGGCTTCTGTGTTTTACTGTCACAGATCTCAGTCAAGGTCATCCACTTCCCCAGAACCTGTTTCTTTACCTGTAAAATGTGAATCCTTAATAAGTATCCTGAAAGGATGAGAAATTACATATACATACGTATGTATTCCAGCAAAATGCCAGATATGTATTAAGAACTTTATAAAGAATAGCTTACATTGTTAACTATCCTAGTAAAGCATTACCCCTGCTGACCTCTCTCCTGGATTTCTAAAATGATGAGACTCACAGGTGATGAACGTCAGCAGCCACTACACACAAGGGGAGGAGCCAAGTGACTGATTTTAAAGTGCTGACCTTAGTTACTCTCTTTTAAGAAGCATCTACTAAATAGTATCCCTCAATTTATTTGATTTAGAAAAGCAAAAGTATCTGAATGGCAAGGTATATTGTAATGTGCTCCATTTTGTAAGACAACTATTAATCTGAAGGGATGATACTATCTTTGCAGGGGTAAGGCTTATACAATTTGTACGTGACCACCTTAAATTTTTAAAAATGTTTTCTCATAAAGGAGGAACTGAATATTTGCTGAAGAGCTATGTGTTCACAACTTTGAACGTGGACAGAATCTAAAAGGAATACTCATTAAATAGGGGCAGAGGAAGAATAAAGGTCAAGAATATCCTTAGAACATATTGGTAAGCCATGGTGTCCCTTGCAGTAGCTGAAGGCAGGTTGCTAATATAGCTATGATCTTCCAGTGACCAACGCGAGGAGGAGAAAGCTCTCAGATAAGATTCAAACAAACAAAAATATTTGAGATGATTTTAGTTACAAGTAGCAAACTGCAGATATTACAATTCTGGTGAATTAACAAAAGCAGCTAGCATCTCAACAAAAAGAAAGTAATCTCACCGCGTTAAAAAAAAAAAAAACCCAAAAAACAACAACCAAAAAAAATCCTTTACTTGGCCCCTACCCTGTGGCTGGCACTCCTGCTAGACACCGTGGCGGGAAAGGGGTGTCCTGTCTAGTGAGGTCGCTGGCGGGACGGAGATGACAGGCGACTGAAGAGAACTATCAGGCAACGTGTCACACGCTGTGGCGAAGGGAAGCACCCGGCGTGGCACCGGGAAAGGGAAAGGGGAAGAAAATTTCCCAGAAGTGTTGAAAGCAGAGAAAAGCAAAAGCAGCTGGGAAAATTTATTAAAAATTCAGCGGAATGAACAGCAGGTGCAAAACAATGGAGGTACAGACACAAGAACCCTTCTCACCCAGGGTTCAGGTGAGCACACTGTGGAATGTACACGAAAGGGGAGAGCAATGAGCCGGAGACACCCATATACCAGACCACGTGTGGCCAAGTTACGGAGTGTGGATTTAGATTCCGCACTTCGGGACTCTCTCTGGAAACTGTGTGGGCATGGAGCCGGGAAGGTCAGTCTGGAGGGCGGGACTCGCAACTAGGTCACTGCCTTGAGCACGTGGCTTGGCGAAATGCAGAGCCCACGGCTGCTTCAGTCATTTGTTAGTAGCTTAAAAAGACTATGGCTTCACCCATGCAGAGTTCTCTTTCTCTGCTTATTTAAAAGAATCAAGATCCTTTAAACTCCAGTAAATGACTGGAATCTTCTTAAGTAACTGAAATGTAAAGTAGTAGACTATTTAAAACCTACACTTATGTCATTCATTCCTTGTTCAATTATTCTGTCAGATATTACAATGTTAGTTTATTTGAATTTTCAAATTGTTTAGGTCACTGAATTACTGACTTTCATGTTTTACAGTGAAGATTTTAAAGATTAAAAATGCAACTTTCACAATATTTCTTTCATGACGATGATTTCACAGTTGGATTTGGCCTTGGGGGTGCAGCCTCTTCCATCACAAGTATTGTCTGTTCAATGGACAGGACGTGAAAAATGTAGGAAAGCATAAAAGCAGATTGGGACCGACAAAAGAAGAAAAAGGAGTGTGACTGCAGATGAATGTGTACGTTTCTGGGAGGGAGTGGAGGGGATTCTTGTTGATTACCTGCTATTTTATTGCAAGAAGGAGATGAGGTCATTGGCTAAGAACAGCTGGGGAGGTCAGCCAGCAAAGGATCAACAAATGGTTACCACAGGGAAGGATGAGGGTGGTGGGCTGCCTGAGGGCTTCTGTCTGAGGGCTGGGGGATCTGAGGCAGAGCAACCCTGTATCTCTGTCCCTCTTCTCCTAATGCTCTTATCTTCCAGTGTCCCCAACAACTGGCTGCTTCCCTTTAAATAATTTGACATTATGAAATTCCTCTTCAGATTTTTCTGAGGCTAGTTAGAAATTTTAAACAAGAGTGAGTGCACTCTTTGTCACAAGTCCACAAATAATCGAGTGGAATCATCCATCTAGAGAAGCTCAGAATCCACCTTAAAAGGCGCCAGGACCTGGGATGGGGACTCAGGACTCCACTGTCGGCAGAGCTCAGATGTGCAGAACGATTTCTTCTTACACTTGACGTCTTTGCGTAACTTCTCGTATTTCCATTTTCTCCTAGAGAACGTTCCCCTTCACGACATGCCGCAAAGTCTCTGTGTCAGCCCCCTGCTCTGCAGTGAGTCCGGCGCTTCACGTGCAAGTTCCTTCCAGTTCACATGCTGTTCCCTGTGAGTCTCTGCACCTGCCTTCTCTGCCTAGTCAATTTTTCAGGATGAGGCTCCAGTGAACCTCCTCCTCTGTTTCTCCCACAAACGCAGAGTCCACCACACCTGTTATGCCAACAATGGACCAACATATGCCGCTGTTACTGCACAGAAACGACTGACTGGCTCTGGCC